CCCTCCCCTCCACAAAATTTCAACCCTGCTAACCAACAACGAACGTTGATGAAAACATGATTTTAATGTAGTTTTCAGGCTGACGATTTTATATTTAAGCCTATTGTGACAATTATATCACCTTTCTTGCCTCTTTCAATAAAGGCTATTGGATGCTGAAGCTCTCCCTGGCCCCTGCGCAAGAGAGTCCCCCTGTAATTAAATCCAACTGAGTGATGTGTCAGTGATGCAAGGCGGCCGTCTGCACACTCCGAGAGTTGTCCCCCCCCACACCTACCCTGTGCTTGAGCACATGCAGAGAACAACATAAACACACTGACACTGGAGCACACGTGCACATGTCAGCTGTCAGTACACTGGAAACACAACCGCACCATGTGGGCTGTGGAAACCTCTTTCATCTGATGAATCTTAATTGTTTTTAATATCTTTTATTTCTCCCTATGAACTCATTAAAGGTTTTCCTAATCAACCTGTTTCAGTGGTGTCTTAGAAAAGAAATGAATCTGAGATTATCAGATGAATGTCCTGGTCTCAGCAGTTTCTCGCACAGTGGGAACATAAGAAATGGAAATATCTCGGGAGCTCATTTCTATAATACTCAATATACCTTTTTAATCCTGCACCACCCCACCCCCTGACTGAAAGTGGGATTTACTGCACAAACTGCACTTTCACTTGTTCTCCCTCTGGTGCACTTTGAGACACACACACACTCACAGAGTGAGTTGTTTTGGTGGTTCCACCTTGCACCAGTCCTGTGAGTAGTTTTTCTCTTCATGTCTCCAGGGGGTTAACACAATAAATGTCACACTGGTGAGTATTAACTGTGGCTGATACTCCTGCAGCAGCACAGGCATGCAGCACAATGCATGCACAGTAAGCAGGTATTGTGATAAGTGGGCAGTCAAACCAGCCAGTGCAGTTGGGGGGGGGGGGGGGCTGAAAGGAGCTGAACAGAAAAGCTTCGAGCAGAGAGAGAGAGAGAGAGAGAGAGAGTGAGGGAGGGGTGGGAGGACGAGAGCAGGGAACGGTTTTCATGCTGTGCTAGCATCCCATCAGCAACTCCATCAATACTGCATACAGCTGAGAAACTGGCAGAGGTCCTCCGTGCTGCATTTGCAGGCTCGGCCAGTGAAAAGAGAACAACTCCCACGAGTGGTCTGCTCAGTCTGCTGCTGGAGGGGGGCTCTGTGAGGGCCAGTGCATGCACACACACACACACACACACACACACGCAGACACACACACACACACAGACACACACACACACACACACAAACACACACACTCCAGAGCCTGTGCTGCATCAGGAGGAGGAAGAGGAGAGCGGAGGAGGGTACAGAGGGACACACAGACTGGGAATACTCCAGAGTGGACAGAGCCAGTCCCAGGAGGCAGAGGGACAGGATTGTGAGGAGACTTGTGTGCTAATATGCCACCGTGCTCCACAGGGGAAGCTGAGCACCAGGGAGTTTGACAGGGTCTCAGTGCATCTCCTCTTTGATAACTGGTAAGCTGATTTATTCCCTTATACAGTCAGAGACATGTGGATCTGACCCATTACTTTGTAATGTGATGTGTTTATGTGATGCTGACTTATGTCTTCAGTAAATGTTTACACTGGTGCACTGTGGTCAGTACAGAATTTTACCTGGACAGCAATGAACTGTGGTGCAGTGTATGAACTGCAATCCCAACATAAAACACATAACAGACTGTAATGTTGTGACCGACAGAGCTGACCAAGTTATACAGTAAATCTGTAACTCTTTAAAATACTGTGTGTGTGTGTGTGTGTGTGTG